GGAACTGGCTAAGGCAGCTGCACCCTGGTCTGACCATCAGAAAGCAAGAGACCTGAGAACTAGAAAGGCAAGGCTTACGGAGCCATTTATCCCTCCACCCTACAACTAACCCCACAGGTGTTTATTGGCCAGGTTGGCACAATAAACTACCTCAGTCTATGTACAGGTTCTACATAATTAAATGCTCTGAAATTCCCGTCTTTCACAATTATATCCATAATTTGTCACAATTCAGAGTGTCAAATGCTTTTGAATAGTCAGTAAAATACAGGCTAACGTCTTTCTGGGATTTTTTTTTTTTTCCAGCTAAGATCTGTGTGACATCAGCAATAATAGCCCTGGTTCCATGCCCTATTCTGAATGCAGTTTCTTGATGTCCTGCTGTATCTGTTTTTGAATTACGTTCATCAAGTTTATGTGTGTGACATTAATGATATTGCCCTATATTTCCATATCCTGTTTAATCACTTTCTTTGGAATGCTACCTTTCTTTGGCACAAACATGGACACAAACTTGGATCATTTCCAGTTGGTTAGCCAATACTTGTCTTCCTTATTTATTTGCATAGACAAATGAGTGCTACCTATGTTGCATGCTTTTGAAATATCTCATTTGGTATTCTGTCCATTCCTGGAGCTTTGTTTTTGCCAGTGTGTCATTCAGTATTTTGCCTAGATGAGCCTTCAGTATTATAACTCAGCAATCGAATGTTTGCTTTGTTGTTTCAGCTTGGAAAAAAGGCCTGCTCTTCCCTTTTGCTTTTCTAGTTCTAGGCCTTTGGATATTTTATTATAATTCTGCACCTTGGGTTCTTGAGCTGCCCTTGAGAATCTGTTCAGTCGTTTTCCGTCATTTCTTCCCCTTGTTTTAGCATCTCACATTCTATAAAAAGTTTCTTCTGATAATCCCTTTTGTCTCCTTTAATGATCATTTGTATCCTTATCTTTGGTCGTTAGTGTTCCGTGTGTCAAATCTCTTCTTGAGATGGTCTTTAACTTCAGGGGGAATATACTCAAATTTGTATTTTTGCTCTCATAACTTGTTTTAATTTTTTTGAACTTCAACTTGAACTTGCATAGGAGCAATTGATTGTGTGTTCCACAGTTTCCCCCTGCATTGACCATTCAGTATGTCTGCATTCTACGTTTGTAAGAATTTCAGTGCATTGATTTGTGTACAAACCAGGAGGTGCTATAGAAAGTACACAAAGTATAAAAATAACTAATCAAAATTCAGTATGCCTATGTACTATAATGTTTATGAAAATAATTAATCCAAAGAGCGTCCTTATATAACTTGGAAGTCAAACTTTAAGTGGTAGTATATTAACATGACTATCATAGGATTATGGCCTAGTGGTTATACATTGGGCTGCGATCCATATGGTCAGCAGATTGAAACCTCCAGGCATTCCATGGGAGAAAGATGGAGCTTTCTACCCCTATAAACAGACACCATCTTGGAAACTCTGAGGTAGTTATAACCTGTCCTATGGGGTTGCTATGAGCTTGCATTGACTTGATGGCAGTGAGTTTGGTTTTGGTATCACAGTTCTTGGTAAACATTTGGGATTCAGCAGATATAGGCAGGGAGGTAAATTATGACATTGCGTTCTACGTGGTGTTATATTGAGAGTTCCTTGTTTTCCATTACTCTTCTAATATATTCTTTACAGCAATAAGCCCAAAGTCACTGCCATTGAGTTGATTCTGACTCATAGTGATTCTATAGGCAGGGTCAAAGTGCACCTGTGGGATTCTGCGACTGCAACTCTTGATGAGAATAGAAGGCCTAGTCTTTCCCCCATCTAGCATGTGGTGGTTTCAAACTGCTGACCTTACCATTAGCAGCTTAGCAAGTAACAGCTACGCCACCAGGGATTCGTAGCATTAATCTAAGTGCCTTAAATAAACTTAATGTATAGTAGATGTTTACTGAGAGGATAAATGACATTCAGTGGATTTTAACTGACAGGCAGTTAAAATATTTAGAACTATGTGAAGGGGCTTCAAAAAGTTCATGAGAAATAGGATGAAAAGAGAATGGATTTTTGCCACTTTTTGAAGCCCCCTTGCATGTTTGAGAATATTTTTATTTGTTGATACTGAATGAATACCTACTATCTGTTATTTTTAGTTACAGATTATTTTGTTTGTCACTATTTTTTTTCTTTTTGTTTTAACAGATCACTTCTATAACTCGATCGCCTATTTGCTTTCAGAAGCATTATGTCTCGACCCCGACACCCACCCCTTGTGACAGGGATCTCTCCCAAAGAAGGAATTCCATGGACCAAAGTCACAATTCGAGGAGAGAACCTGGGCACTGGTCCAACTGACCTCATAGGTAAGGTCAATGACTCTGCTTGTGTCCCCAGGGGACACATATTTTTATATTGGGCAATTATGGAAAGTGTTTTTTTTTTTTTTTAAATAAGGAGGATGTTAACTCTTACCACTGTGATCTGTACAGAAACATCTGAACTAAAATGAAAGAATTGTTTTTTTTCTTTGATTCTTTTATTAAAATTCTTTTATGACATCTTCTGGATAATGTTTCACCAAGCCCTGTCCTTCCTTCTGAAAGTTTCTCTGGAGCTTTGGTTCCTCCAGTTGAGTACAAAACAGCCTCGTGGCTATTTTTGCTGACTTTCCTTTTCCCTACTTGTACAGCTGCCTGTATCGCTTTCCTTGCATGCTCTGTGAGTCATGGCTTTTCTGTTTCTCACTGCTCGGCACGTTAAATTTCAACCTCGTTTCCTGTTGGAGTCCGTACCCCTTGGCTCTTGAACTTCACTGTTCTCAAGGAAACTCTTCCCTCTCACCAGCATGCATCCTTATTAGGACCTCTGGAGTCTCCTTTTCTTGACCCATTTTGATGCTGCCCACCTGGTTTCTCACCTAACAGGGGCTTAGAGACTCTGTCCAGTGTTCTGATTCCTGAATTCCTATTCTCCCCTACCAAGCCTTAAGACAGAATCTTTTCAAATTAGTGAACAGAACAAGGTATACTGCATGTGTTAAAAATCAAGAAAGGTGTGTGACATAGCCTCTCACCATACTTATTCAACATTGATGTTGAGCAGATAATCAGAGGAACTGGATTATATGAAGAAGACTGTGGTATCAGGTGTGGAGGAAGGCTTATTATCAACCTTTGTTATACTGTAGCCTTGCTTGCTAAAGTGGGCACGGCCTGAGTCCCTTGCTATTAAAGAGCAAGGATTACAGTCTTCAGTATGGCTTTCAACTCAATGTAAAGAAGATCAAAATCCTCACAACTGGACAACAGATAACATCATGATAAATGGAGAAAAGGTTGAAATTGTCAAGGATTTGGTCCTGCATGCATCCACAATTGTTGCTCATGGAAGCAGCAATCAAGAGATCAATATATGAGTTACAGTAGGCAAAACTGCTGCACAAGACCTTTTTAGAGTACTGCAAAGCAAGGATGCTACTTTGAGGACTAAGGTGTGCCTGTTCCAAGCCATGGTATTTTCAGTTGCCTCATATGCATGTGTAAGTTGGACATTGAATAAAAGACTATATACTAATGAATGCAATTGAATTGTGGTGTTGCAGAAGAATATTGAAAATATCATGGGTTGCTAAAAAGACAAATCTAAGTTTGTTGGAAAACGTGCGGCCAGAGTGCTCCATGGAGGTAAGGTTGGTGGGACTTTGTCTTACCTCCTTTGGACATGTTGTCACGAGACACCAAGAGAAGGATGTCAGGTTTGGTAACCAAGACAGACGGGCAGCGAAGGACAGTCGTTGTAACAATGACTGCCAGCGTAAGAACAATTTAGAATAGAGTGCCACAAGAATGAACAAATTGGTGGAAGAAATGTTCCATAGAACCAAGACTTAATCTCCATTACTTTTGACATATCAGGAGTAACCATTCCCTGGAGAGTGGCATCCTGATTGGGAGAGTAGAGAGCGGGTCAGCGAAAAAGAGCACAACCCCCAACAAGATGGATTGACACTGTAGCTGCAACAATGGGGTGAAACAGAATAATAGTTGTGAAGATAACAAATAGCAAGTAGTGTTTCATTTTTTTGTTCATATATTGTTTTACAGGGGTGTTATGAGGTGAAACCAACTCAGTGAACACCTAACAACAACAACAACATACCTAAAACTATCTGTTATATCTTTGAATTGCATTTATTTACTTTCTTTATAGAAGTTTTATAATTATACTATTCATTTTACTTTTAAGTTGTCATGATTTCCAACTTAATTCTTCTCGCTCTCTGAAATCAGTTTTGTAGGTTCATCTTGCTTTTGTGGAATTTAATGTATCTTGCTAGCTGGGTTTCTGTCTTTCTCAATCTGAACTGTCTGGGGTGTTGGTTTTCTATCTGTAAGACCTCCTTTAATTTTTCCTGTAGAGCGAGTCTGCTGGCGATAAATGCTCTAAGTTCTGCTTATCAGGGAATAAGTTAAATTTGCCCTGCTTTAGAAAGATCCTTTTGCTGCATACGTGATTCTTGGTGGCAGTTATTTCAGGGTTTTATTTATGTCATCCCATTGCCTCTTTGCTTGCATGGCTTCTGATGAGACATCAACACTGTTACTGAGGTCTCTTTGTAAGGTGTATTTATTTCATGTTCATGAACTGCTCTCAAAAATCTTTCTTTGATTTAACATTTAGCAAGTTTGATTATGATGGGTTTGGGCAAATTTCCCTTGAGGTTTAACTGTTTGGAATTCATTGACCTATTTGTAAGTCGTTTATTTTCCCCATGGACATTTCTTATTCTCTTTGCTCTGTGGAAATAGAAAATGCCCATAAAATCAGTTGGGAGAGTATCCCACAGTGTGTCCACTTGGAGTGTTGGTATCTCACCTGGGGACAGCCTCACCCATTGTAACCTGTCACTGTTTCCTTGAGTAGGTTACTGTCAGGTGATATCCAGGAATAATCTGAGGCCACCTCTCTGGAATGCCATTTGGCTGTGAAAACAGAAGTAGTGACAGAATCATTAGGAAAACACTAAGACAGTATGAATTATCATGATGTAAACTGACATTTGAACAAAAAATGAGATAATAATCCAGTAATGCCAGACCTCATTTTACTAAACTTACATTTTACTAAAACATTTACTGATGTTTAAAATAGAGTTATCTACTTTTGTTTAGAACTCTCAAAAGAATTAATATTTAAAAACTATGATTGGGTCCATTTTGTAATACAACATGTAATCTAACACATGTTAATTTAATAATGAATAATTGAACACTGGTTAAAAATGCAAATACAGATTATTTTCAAGAAGATTGGTGAGCGTAGAATGTTTGTAGGAAATGATACATAAATTTATTTATATGCTTTAAAATTTCGTACAAGTAACTGAGACTTCTAGTTGTAGCAATAGTTTCCCTTCTAATAAATATGAATATAGCTTAAGTTTCTAATGGTATAATCTATAAGTTTAGATGTAATTACAATAAATTATTTCCAACTTTGTTGATGCTTTAAGAAAACACACAAAGAGCATAAAATAATTAATTTGTTGATATAAGATAAAAACCTATTAGACAAAAATCAGAAGGAACAGCAATATATTTGCAAATAATTTTGGTTATAACTCTCTGCCATCACGTCCATGCTGATTCATGATGACCCCCATGGGTTTCTGAGACAGTAACTGTTTACAGGCTTTCTTCCACAGAGCTGCTGGTAGTTTCAACCGGCCAACCATGCTGATTGCAGCCGACTGCACAACCACTACACCATGAGAGCTCCTACGATTAGTTATATTGAAAAATAAAAAGAACTATTGAGCAAGAAAATATGATTTTTAAATGCATTTTACATCTTGTGAAAAGACCTGAGATTATTAAGAGGATAATTTGTTTTTTCATACAATAGGGAAGTTTAAAGTCTTATCACTGTTCTTTTGAACTTTATTATGTCATGCTTATGTTTCCAGGTCTGACAATTTGTGGACATAATTGCCTCCTGACTGCAGAATGGATGTCGGCAAGTAAAATAGTATGTCGAGTGGGGCAAGCCAAAAATGATAAAGGAGACATCATTGTCACAACCAAGTCAGGTGGCAAAGGAACCTCCACAGTCTCTTTCAAACTGCTCAAGCCTGAAAAAATAGGTATCATCCATCGTGACTTTATTCTAAAGAAGAAAATAGGTTTTATCTTCTTACGTTGGTAGATTAGTATGAGATCTACCTACTCTCTTATCTCACTAACTTAAATTCAGTTTATCTTTGTTTTGACAAGAATAGGATGAAAGTTAAAGTTTGTATTTTTGTTGACAATGCAGTTTGTTGAGCTCACAGTCCACAAAGGCTAAGGATGATAAGTGCTCCCATTCTAAATTCTTTAAGGATTTGTTTATGTCATGTTTTGATGTGATAATTTTGGTTCTTTGATCCTTATGTCACATTTCTTTTTAACGATTTTATAGTTTTGAGGTGTGATATTCTGATTTGGCCAAATTGTCAATAATGTTATCTAAATCGTTTCTTTTTCCTTTTTGTCAAAGCCCAGATAAAATATTTTCAATATTGGATTTGCTTTTAATTCTCCAAAGTAGGAGGGCTTACTTTCCTTAGTACCTCATGGCACTTTGAATATTACTGTTTATGTGCTAACACTGGCTTCCTCGTATTAGTAGTGTATCTGAGCTGGGTCTGCGGAACCAGACTCTGAATTCTAATCTGGGCATGACCGGTGTCTGCTGTGTAACTTACTGTCTCGTGACTTCATGGGTTAACTTGGCACAAACAGCCTCATGGTCCCTGTTAAGCTATGTGATGCCAAACATGAAGCATTTAACTTGCTTACCTGGCAGGTTGGGCACTCCATCGCTGTCAGAGATTGTTGCTGTGCAGAGTCTTTGATTATGCAGCAAAGTGTTGCCGGCCCCGGAGAGAAATGGATGCTAACCATACCTAGCATCAGAATCTTTGAGGTGGTAAAAACTGTGAAATGGTTTCCTACAGGTTAGCAAGCAAGTACATGTAAGCCTGTGTTTACCTTGTTGATTGGGTAATCCAATACTGAGTGTTTGGCTGCGAACTAAAAGATTGACACTTCAAATCCAGCGGCCACTCCACAGGAGGAAGCACCTATCCATCTGCTACTGTAAGGAGTACAGCTTAGAAAACTATATGGTAAAAAATTATTCTGTCATATAATAGTTTTTATGTGTCAGAATAGATTGATGACACAAAACAGTCACAATAAAAAATTGGAAGAATTACCAACCTCATTGGATTAAGAGTATTAGAGGAAAAATTAAAAATATTTAGTTAGCATTGTATGTGTCACACAGTACTGAGAACACACACACACCAAAAACAACCAAACAACAAGCCCACTGACTAGAGCGGGTTTCTGAGGCTGTAGACTTTATGACAGCAGACAGCCAGCTGTTCGTCCTGTAGAACACCTGGTGAATTTGAACGGCTAACCACGCAGTGACCAGCGCAATGCGTACTCAACAATGCCACCACGGCTCTTTGACATGTAGTAAGTGCTCAATCAAGGTTAGTCTTGAATTCTTCTCATAGCTATTTTTGTATGGGTCTGTCCTCCTGACTGAAAGAAGAGGAGTGTCATTTCATTTCTATGATTCCACAAGTACACGGTCATATAATGATAAGTCATAATTAAGCCCATGCAGTACTTCAATTTTATATACCTCACTGACTGCTGCTCACTCTCATCCAGTCAGTCTGCCGCAGAGTGACTGTATGGGACAGAAGTGAGGTGCCCACAGGGCTCCAAGACTGTACATCTGTATAAAGTTATTGTTTTATAGGTTTGGAGTAGCTCGTTGGTGTGAATTTATGGTTACTAACCCATTGGTTAGCTTATTAGGCCACTAGAGCTTCTTTCTCTCTTCTGAAGAAAAGTAAATAGGTTTGCAAATTGTGTTTTCTAAATTCCTGTGTATATTCATGTACAAGCCGAGTTTCTCAGCACATTTTTATGCCATTTTTGTGGTAAAATTGGGTGCCTCGGCTGATAGGTTGGCTTATCCTCGAGTATATACAATACTTCAAACATTGAACCTCTTGGTAGCATTATCCTTTAAATATCCCTGAATTCCTAGATTTTTTTTTTATAAATTGGAATTTATATATTCATATATGTATATAACTTTATATCTCTCTCAATGTGTGCATGTCCATATATACAATAGTTCTGTTTTCATTCAAAGCCATATTTCAGAGATTGTATTTTGTTAACAGGGTCCCACCCACCTTTTTCCTGAATAATCCAGTCATTTCAGTTACACAAGCAGTACATTTCTTGAAATATATTTGACTGCTTTTTTTCTATAAGGAATTGTTGGGATATTTTGTGGTTGGCTATACCAAGTTGATTTCAGCCTAATGTAAAGACAACCTGCTGTTTTTATTATTAGAACATTTTTAGCGTTGTAAAAAGAATGAGAAATAGGAAGGCGTTTACTACTTTTGCAGCCCTATCATGACAATATGAAAATGTCAGTATTTGTGTAGGAGACGATAATAAAGACATGGTTGAGTGTTTTCAAGAACCATTTAACGAATGTTTGATTTTTGTTTGTAGTTAAATATGGCCTTAGGTACCTAATGCTGCCCAGGTGAAGAAACTCAGAATGCTTAATATAAAAGTATATGTACGAAATTGATTTTCAACAGTCAACATAAATAAGAAGCTTAAAACTTCCAAGGTTGTTTCTTATTCAAGTTTCATTTAGGTATTTCCTAGGAATTTTCTACTGGTTTATTTAATTCTAGGATAGTCTCTTCAATAGACGTATATTATATACGTCACATCATTGCATCTTATCTGCTAATGTCCTGAATAGTTCCCCCATTTATCAGTAATATTTAATAATCAGAGTGTTTATTATTTGTAAAGTATACTTGTTTTAGCAGGATTTTTTCTCAGTGACTTTATATGTTTTCTTATTGATTAATGTACAATGAAACCATGGCAAGTTTTATTTTTTCCTGTTTATAGATTCTCAGTGTTTTTAAGTAAGCCCCTAGCCATCACAAAAAAAAGTCTGGGCTATTGTGTGTTTACATCTTTTAAAATTTATTTTAGCGTGCAATAGTAGTTGGTCTTTAGAAAATTAAATCAATATGACAAGACTTAAAAAATTACCTTTATTTAGAACCTTTCTTTTATTAAGGATATAACTCTGATTTTTGTTAGGTATCTTGGATCAGTCCGCTGTCTGGGTGGATGAAATGAATTATTATGATATGCGCACTGACAGGAATAAAGGAATTCCTCCTTTGTCCTTACGTCCTGCTAATCCACTTGGGATTGAGATTGAAAAGTGAGTATCCTTTGGCTCTCCATTTTCAATTGCTGAAAACGCCTGTTTAGTTAAGTGGAGACAGTACAACTCCAGAAATGTCCGGAAGCGTTAGTGAAGACACTGAAGCCCGGTCAGCTGTGTTCCTAGAGACCACTCCCATTAGTGAAAAGTTGGGGCAAAATGTTTTAGTTTTTTGAATATGCAATTTAGAAGGAAATCATCTTGAGGCTTGAATGATTAATATAATTACTTGATTTGAGCATTAATACGTTATCTGAAGTCGCTCAATTGAATTATTTAGCATTTCCTTGAAATCAAAATAGAATTTACAATTTATCGGTTTGCTTGATTTTTCTAGAAATATTTTAAACTACTTAGGTTCAATCTGACCTTTCCTTTTTTTTTTGTAACCTCTGCCTTTAATTATACTCAATCTGGACTTAGTTATCTTTCATTAGTTATCTGTCAGAATTGTGCCAGGTAAACACTATCTTGTTGTTTTACAACTAGATTTAGAGCAGCGGTTCTCAACCTGTGGGTCGCGACCCCTTTGGGGGTTGAACAACCCTTTCACAGGGGTTGCCCAATTCATAAGAGTAGCAAAATGACAGTTATGAAGTAGCAACGAAAACAATTTTATGGTTGGGGTCACCACAACATGAGGAACTGTATTAAAGGGTCGCGGCATTAGGAAGGTTGAGAACCACTGGTCTAGATCTTTGATTTCACTTGAGCTTTTTTGGGGCGAGGTGATGATGGCATCTTCCACTGGCCGTGATGCATGCTTGCTTTTGGGGTCTATCCTCTAGCCAGTAATTCCAACCCCCTCCACTACAGTGTTTTAGTAATTTTTATCATTATTATATGAAGGGGCTTTATAAATTTAGTGGAAAAAATGGAATTGAAAGATGATAATCATTTTTCCCATGAACGTTTTGACTCCAAAACTTACTGCCAAAAAGTCAATTCTGATTCAGAGTAGAACTGCCCTGTGGGTTTCCAAAATTGTAAAATCTTTATGAGAGTAGAGAGTCTCATCTAAATCCTAAGAAGCAACTGGTGGTTTCAAACTGCTCACCTTGTGATTAGTAGGCCAATGTCTAACCCACAGTGTCACCAGGGCTCATGAACATTTTGAAACTCCTTATTTAGGGTTCTGTCTTACTTCCAGTGTATTGTATGTAATAGGTGTTCTGACATAATGCTTGTACTTACTGATTTGTCTGCTGAGTGTTCCTTCATAAACAAGAAAGGTGACAAATTCGTTTTTTAATGCTTAAATAAGGCTATCTTTAAAATAAAACTATATTTTAAGTTTTCTAGGAATGGAGAAAATTCCCCATTAGACTCTATGCATTTTAACCTTCAAGCCTATACTTGAAGACTGCTAGTAATTCAGACAGCAAGCTTCTTTCTAACAGACTGAGGTTTACTTCTGGCTCAGAGGAAAGGCACAGGTGTTTGTCTTAGGAAATTGTCAAGTGTTGACAGAAGCCTTTGGCTGTCCAAGGTGCCTGCTTTGAAGCATTTTGGCATATTGGCCATTCTTGGGGTGTTCTAAGGAATTCACTGTTCTCTTAAGAGTTGAAAGATTGTAAAAGCTCAGAAAAGGATGGCAATTGCTAGATGTTTATTTGAACACATTGTAAGCATGAATAGATGTTGTGGTTGATGGTGATTTTTGTAGTAGACATTGATGGTCTGTTTCAACACTGCTTTTATGGAACCTGTGTAGAATAGAAAATCTCTTTAGATCATCCTCATAAAAAAATAAACAGAAAACAAACAAACAACAACAAAACCTCACTGTCATTCTAGCATTAGTGACCTTATAGGGCACAAAAGAACTGCCCCTGCGTCTGAGACTGCAGATCTTTGCGGGAGCAAAAAGCCTTGTCTTTCTCCCACAGAGTAGCTGGTGGTTTCGTACTACTGACCTGTGGTTAGCAGCCAAAGCATAACCCTCTACACTACTAGGGCTCCTTCATTCTTTCACTGGAGCAGACACTTTTGTAACTGGGCAAAAGGCGTGTAGGGAAATGGTATGGGTGTTGATGGTGCATTAGACAAAACTTAACAATGTTAGGTTTAAATTGTGTATAGTTTAATATCATATTGATTTCTTTAGCTTTTAGTTTGGCATGTAACCCAAACCCTATTTGATCTTTCTTCTTCAAGTTCTCTCACCCTTTGACTGTTTCTATTGGATTTATTACTGCTGCTGTCTACTAAGAGCCAGGCTGGAGTTGTCTCTACTAGCATGTTCTTTTATGTTTAAGGATAACCCTTTGGTAACAACAGTCAGGAGTAATGACTCTTTTTACTTTTTAAAAAAATTTCTCCCATTTTTGAGAGGTGGCCTTGTTTAAACTGGAGCCAGCTCCCTTAGTTTGAATTACTTCGTTGCCACCTACTAACAGTCTGTTTTTGAGAAAATTACTTAATTTATCTTTACCTTAGTTTCCTCAGATGCAAAATGAACCTTTTTCATAGCTTTGGGACGATATAGTGAGTTAATGCATGTAAACCTCTAAAAACAAGAAAAACTCGCCGCCATCGAGTCGATGCCGACTCATAGGGACCCTCTAGGACAGGGTAGAACCGTCCTGTGGGTTTTTAAGACGCTAACTCTTCACAGGAGTAGAAGGCCTCTTTCTCCTGTGGAGAAGCGGATGGTTTTGAACTGCTGACCTTGGGTTTGTTGCCCAACGCCTAACCCGTCTGCCACCAGGGCTCCTGGCATAGTGTGGAGCTCACAGGAAGTATTTAATTAATGGCAATCATTGTTACTCTGATTCTCTTTGTGCCACTTAAGAAAAGGTCTATTGAGAACTGTTCTAAGACCAGAAATAAAAGATTTAAGGGTAATAGATTGTTTTTAAATCATAAAATAGTATTATGTATATTTATTCATGAACTACTGATATGGGGAGAAAATTAACAAACAATACTCTTTTTCCGAAGTTTCTTTTATTTTAAAGTTCCCAGCAAGAAAACCATTAATTTCATGTAATTCTTTGCCCTCAGATAGAGAACTCTTCCTTTAGAGAAAGAAAAAGGAATGAAAAAAAAGAAGGCCCATGTTACAGTGCTGCTGTGGGTTTTGTTTGTGTACTGATTTATCATTTTTCAAATAAAAGATCTGGTCTAGGGAGAGAATGGTGTTGCATTCATTTCAGAATCTTGGAGAGTATTTCTATCCTGCCTGTGTTTTATTTCTTTTTAATGGTGTCTTTTAGTCTTAAATTAAAATATATATATAGTTTAAAAGTTGCAGAGGACTTATTTTAATTTTTAAAAGTGTCATCAAAGAGGAAGTAGGAGGAGTTTATTATTATTTGCTTGTTGAAATGTATTAATCGAGGAAGTCTAAATAATGAGCACTTTTAGTAAAATACTCAAGATGAATCCTAAGATGAAAGTGGCGGGGCCGTCTTTGGGGGAGGAGCCCTTTCCTTTTGCTTACAAGGAGAATATGCACGGACATGTTCTGCACTTGGCAGCTATTATATTCTGTGGGACAGTGTAGGGCCAAGGCATTTGTGACCAGCTCTTCGGAGGAGGAAAAGCCAGGGGGAAGAGGAGAGCATCATTTCTGTGTTGCTTTCTGTATGAGTCAGGGCTTAATAAACATTTTATTAGTGTCCCCCAGCATGCATGCTGTCATCTTTCAGCCGAGTTAACAGCTGGATTTATTGGCTGCCTTTGACTGCGAAAGCCTTTTATATTTTAGAAATTTTAACTGATGTTTTTGTATACATGGTTCCTTGATACTTATAAAAATGTTACTAATTGTTCAGAAAAACACTTCAGTTTGAATCGGGACTAGAATTTGCTTGTAAAAAAGTCTTGTTTCTAATGTTTTATGCTGGTTGTCACAAACGTATGTGTTTTCTGTATGTTTTAAGTTGTAAGGAAGACAAATTGTGGCAGCTGAAAAAGAGAGTAACAACAGGCTCAGATTAAGTGAAAGCCTTCACTAGATTTCGCTTCTTGGAAGTGCTATTCACCTGCTCTCTGAGAGCTTATATACGTTAGCTTTGGAGACAGTACCTTAATAGCAATGGAGGTCTAAACATGGAATTTTTCTCCCTTTTTTATATATGCCCTCAAGTTTAGTTTGTGAAATAATTAGTGGGAATGACTATTTAAAGTAGAAAATGGATGCTCCACTAATGCCTGTTTTATTTTCATGTGGTTTTGATGAGCAATGGAAATCTGATATTCTCTAATCAGTTTGGTTTTCTAATCAGGAAAAGATGGCCGGTTTTCTCACTCTTGATTGAAAATAAGGAAGAGTGACATCAAAGAAATTCGTACAAATTTTTATAAAAATGTATTTGTGGGGTGTGATATAATGCTGAGGTCCCAAAAGTATGTCAGTATAGAAAATAACACCACCTCCTCCCAAAGATGAAGCTCCTATTTAATATACCCGCGGGAAAGCGATGTTGCTAAAGATTTAAGGCTGAAAGACCTGAGTGTAACATACACACACTGAAGCGAATTGTTTAAGTGTACTTTTACTGTACTTGGATGCCCACTTTTTCATCTTTCTGTCTAAATCAGGAAAACATGTTCTCTCCTATGCAAACAGAGTAACACAACTGCAACCAGACCTCCCCCGATGTGGAATGGTTAGAATTTTTCTCAGAATGAGTTTTGTTGTTTTGTATGCCACATAGGTCATGACTACATGCCATTCTTATACTTGAAAGTGAATGCTGACATGTGAAGAACGTTCTTCTTCATTTTATTTCTATACACTCAGTTCTTATCTGCCCTTAGCATGGGACCAAAGCACTTCAGATTTAAATCTGAGCATACACTGCCATCTAATGGAAAGCATTTGTTTAGGGGTAGTAAGAGTTGTCAGCTATGAATTTGAATCAACTTGATGGCAGACAGGTTCTTTGTTTTGTTCTTTAGGGTTTGAGGGGTTATCAAACAATGAGCCTCTGAGTTTTGATTCGTTGATGAAAATATTTTATGATATTATGAAGCAGAGTACATGTTAA